GTATTCTCTTACATCTTCTAATGATGTATCATCACTGAGTTCACAGTGCTCATCATATTCAGCAGTGGTAAGTTTCTTGTTCTGCTCCATTGGAGTTAAGGCAGGTTTGGAACCTGATAATCCTAACTCTGTAATTAGCTCCAAAGCATATTTTCTTTAGCAAAGCAAGATTCCCTGTTATGACATGCACACCTCTATTCCTAGGAAGTATTTCAAAGTTCCTATGTCCTTTATCTTAAAGCTATTTTGTAAGGTGTTCTTGGCTTCTTGAATGAGACCAACATCATCACCTATAATAAGAAGGTCATCCACATACACAAGTATTATAACTTGTCTGTTGTGTTTCTTCAAGATGAATAGAGAATGATCATGTTTGCTTTGTTTGAAACCAGCGTGTAGGAGTGCATTAGTGAGCTTGAGGTTCCACTGTCTAGATGCTTGTTTGAGGCCATATAAGGATTTGAGTAGTCTACATCCTGTGTTCCCCCCTTGGCTGCCAAATCCAGGAGGCAACTGCATGTATACTTCTTCCTCAAGATCACCCTGGAGGAAGGCATTGTGAACATCCATTTGAAACAATGGCCACTGATGCATGGCTGCTAAGGCAATGACAGTCCTGATGGTTATCATTTTAACCACAGGAGAAAATGTTTCTTGATAGTCCAACCCCTCTTGTTGACTGTAACCTTTAGCAACTAATCTAGCTTTATACCTCTCTATTGTTCCATCTGATCTATGCTTGATTTTGTATACCCACTTGCAACCAATGAGAACCTTGCCTTTAGGAATAGGAACCACCTCCAATGTGTTGCTACTGACTAGTGCATCAATTTCAGCTTGCATATCATCTATCCACTTCTGAACCTTCATTGCCTAATGGTATGATGTAGGTTCAACATCTGTTGATATTGCAGTAAGGTAACCTTGATAAGCATTACTTATTGAGTCATACCCCATGTAGTTGGACAGCGGATATTGATAAGTAGAAGAGGAAGGTTTCATAGTTGGACATATGTAATCTTTGGTCCATACTGGTGGTTTGGACCCTCTGCTGGTTCTTCTGAGCTGCCTATGTGATGTTTCCTCATGTGGTATCTCAATAGTTTGGATTTCCTCGGCATCATTGCTAGATAAGTCATCCAGCTGAGATATTGTAGCATCATGTTCAACATGTAGTTGATCTAGTTCATGATTAGGAGTCTGCATTTCCTGAATAGAGTTATGTTGTTGTGGAGCTGCATATTGTTCTGTTGCATGGTATCCGTTTGCTTCAAAAAATAATGGAGGTACTTTTCCTTCTTTCAACATCAAGAATGGGAACACGTCCTCTCTAAATGTAACATCTCTGCTGACAAAGAACTTTTTGTCCTTGAGACTGTATAATCTGTATCCCTTTTGAGATGTGGAATATCCCATATGGACAGTTGTTACTGCCTTAGGCAGAAGTTTATCATGCTGCCTGGTAATTGTAGCAAAACAAAGACACCCAATGACCCTTAAGTGCAGTAGTGAAGGTGGTGATTTGTGAAAAACCTCATATGGTGATTTTCCATTTAGTACAGAAGATGGCAATCTATTTATCAGATACACAGCTGCTAGGACACAGTCTCCCCAGAAATGTAGTGGTATACCACCTTGGAACCTTAGTGTTCTTGCCATCTCTAAGATATGCCTATGTCTCCTTTATACCACTCCATTTTGTTGTGGAGTGTGTGGACAACTACTTTGATGTAGTATCCCATTATCTAATAAAAAGGCTGTACATTCAGAGCTAAAAGATTCAGCTCCATTATCAGTTCTAAGGCATTTAATATTATGGTTAAACTGCACATTCACCATCTTGATAAAAGACTTTAGAAGCACAAGAGTGTCACTTTTCAATCTCATTAAGAACACCCAAATCATTTTAGAATGATCATCTAGAAGTGTCAAAAAATATCTATTTCCATTAGAGGTAGGTACTTTGTAAGGTCCCCAAATATCTATATGCACTAACTAAAAAATTACTCCTGCTCTAGTTGTACTAAGGGGAAAAGGTTTCCTAGTTTGTCTTGCTAATGGACATATAGTGCATGTATTGAAGTTGCAATCTATAGGCACCTTGTTCTTCATGAATGCCAGCTGCCTCATCACTCTTGCTGGTACATGTCCTAGCCTTCTGTGCCATACATTGTTGTCTGATATAGCATTTTCTGCCAAACAACCTCTAATTTGTTGTTTGAGCTTATTTGCACTTGATCCATCTGGTAATAGCAAGTAAATGCCACCCTTTTCTTTAACAATCTCCCTCACTTTCCCAGTGTATAGGTCCTGGAATACACAGAATGATGGACAGAAAAGTGTTGAGCAAAACAACTCCTTAGTCAATTTTGAGACTGATAGTAAGTTGTACTTGAAGTCAGGCACATAAAAAACATTCTGAATTGATTCACCACCTGTGATTTTACACTTTCCTTGGTACATAACTGGTACTATTTTACCATTTGGCAGATGAACATTACCTCTTTTGGTGTTAGACAACTTAGTTATGTCATTCAGCAGGTTAATATTTGAAGTCATGTGGTTTGTTGCTCCAGTATCAATGATCCAAGGAGTATCACACGTTTGAGTCAGTTGAGAATCAGTATTACCTGCCATATTAGCTGCAAATTCTTCTCCTTTGTCCATATTCAATAGCTTTATTATCTGGTTGTACTGCTCATCAGTGAAGTAGTTGTGCATTCCTTGTCTTGCCACATTAGAATCTACAGTTGTGGTGGCTTGGAACACATCATCCTTGGCATGAAATCCATCACTTATGGTTGCATTAGCTTGTCAATATTCCTGCTTCTTCTTTCCCTTTAAACCAGGTGGATAGCCCACCAATTTGTAACAAGTATCCTTAGTGTGACCCTTGGTTCTGCAATACTCACAATATAGATTTCCATACCTTTTGAACTTCTGTGAATTATCTCTTGAACTCATTAAGGCAGTAGAATCATTCACCTCATTCATAGGTGTATTGGTCATATGGACCTTCCTTTGATTCTCTTCATTAATCAACATAGCATAAGCACGACTCACACTTGGTAATGGTGACATGAGCAGCATCTGACTTTTAATGGCACTAAAGCTATCGTTTAATCCCATCAAAAATTGAAAAAATTTCTGTTGTTCTAAATGTGTTATGAATTCTCTTGTTTCAGGAATCACAGGCAGAGTTGGAATAAGTGCACTATACTCATCCCACAATAGATTAAGTCTATAATGATAAGCAGAGATACTGGAAGTACCTTGGGAGATTGTAGCAATTTCTCGTTGAAGATTATAGATCCTTGATCCATTGATCTTGTCAAAACGATCCTGCAAATCAGTCCAAACTTCATGAGCATTGCTGGCATATACTATCACGTTCACCAGCTCCGGCGAGATAGTATTCATAATCCAAGTCAAAACTGTAGCATTAACACGTTCCCAGTCCTCGCCTAGATCAGCAGTGAATTGATCCTTGGTGCATGTACCATCTATGAACCCTAGTTTTCTCTTAGCTCTCAATGCAATCTTCATTGCTCTTCTTCAGACCGAATAATTCTCGCTCCCAGTCAAACGAACGAAAATTATCACATTTCCCGGCGCATCTGAAGGTTGTAGATACAATGGATGTCGCGGATTGTCAATGTTCATCTCAGCCATTATCGGTCTGCTCAAAAATTGGGAATTTTGAAGAAGACGAAGAACAATCGAAAAATTTTCTCAACAATTCCACAGAACAACTCTTAAAGCTAGATTTTCACAGCTCCGATCGATTCTCTTAGCTCTGATACCATGTTAAATCCACCATTATTGACTAGTGGTTAAGCTCGACTAAGAAGAAAGAAAATGAGGATTGTGAGTGGAAGCTTCTGGGTCAGTTGTAATTTCTGTGTATTGAGAGAAAACAGATCTCATTACAAAATGAAGTCAATCCTTTTCTGATATATACATGTGTATATATATTTACAACTAACTATCTCCATTTAATTATCACTAACAACCTTCCTAATTCCGTTATAACTAACCATTAGCAACTAACTACCAATAAGCTACAATCATTGCTTGTCACCTAACAGATAGCCTTAGTTTCCAGCTGTCATTGCAGCACTTCAACATTCCTCTTAATAGATAGAAAAATCTAGCAGTTACTATCATTTTCATTAGTAGCTTAGAAGGATCTGATTGCCTTCTAGAAATTAAAACACTGATTGCCTTAGCTTTCTTTCTTAGTTTTATTGATAAATAGTGTTTCACAATGATGAATATTGAGGTTCAAGAAATAGTTTTGTTGTAACTTTTTTTAGTTTCCATCCAGTATTTAGGAATCATCGTGTTGTATTCACGACCATTCTAATAAAGGTGAGGTTTCGGCCTCATCTTTAAGGGAAAGCTTTTCATTTCTATGCTTTTCTCATCTTCCTTCAAGGTTACTATGCAGAATCCCTATAGATTATACTACAGGAAAATAGGCCTTTAGCGAGGGGAAATCTGGTCGTTAAAAATCCAATTCTGGTCGTTAAAAGTTAATAACGACCGGAAAAAATCCGGTCGTCACCGGTCGTTAAAAGCTCCGACGTTAAAAATTAACGACCGATTTACAATTCAGTCGTTAAAGGTTCTGTAGCGACGGCATAATCTTCGGTCGTTATACATGCTTTTTAGCAATAGAATTTTCCCCTCGCTAACTTGTTATCCGGTCGTTAAAAGTCTTTAGTTACAACAACTAATTAAGTCAATCCAAGTGCTTTTAACGACCGATATTCCCTTCCTTAACTATATAATTACTCTCAACAGCCAAAATTTCCTTCATTAATGGTCGTTTATCTGTTTGAGAAACCTATCGTTAAAGAGTTCTAATGACCACATATTTCTTTGCTAATATGAAAATGTAATAAATATAATTACAAAAATTTAAATTACATGAATAACAATTATTATTATTTATAAGCTTTCATACACGGCCAACAACATTGGAGAATAAACCAATATCTTGTTAATACAAAGAACTAAAGTATCATATTTACCATAAATCGATCCAAATTGTAAGACATCATTTTTAACAATTCCTAAAAAGAGAAAAAGTAAAATTGCAACATAAATATGTACATAAGACAATGTCTTTAAACCATCTCTGACAAACCAAAAATCTCTTGTACTTCAACTTGATCTCCACTTTCTTCAAGGATAGGTTCTTTGGACTTCAAATTTTTGATCGGTCAAATTAACAAATTTATGCCAGTTTAGTAGCAAAAAATAAACAACTAAAGAAGAAAGATCAGATACATTAAAGCCTACACTAATGTCCATAAACGAGGAAGTAAAAAAACTACAAAGATCAGAAATGCTCAAGTTTCCGCCGTCATTCATAGCTGCTGCAGCAATCTATACAGCTCAGACCACACTCTACGGTGTCCAGCACTGGAGTAAGATATGCGAGTGGCATACTAGTTACTCGGAAGATCAACTTATGGAGTGCTCGAGATGGATTGTGAGATGTCACTAGAAGGCAGCAACAGGAAACTGACAGGGGTACATAGGAAGTACATCACATCTAAATTTGGTTATGCAGCAAAGTGGGAGCCTGCGCATTTTCTTGTGCAGACAAAACAACAATAGGAAAAGAGGCATGTCCAGTTATTACTAACTTTATGTGCAATTGGATTCCTAAATCGATTCATTCTTTTAACGGCGCCGGGTAATCGAATTAAAGGAAACTAAGCAACTGTTGTTGCCCCAGGGAGTTTTGATTATTTCTCTTATAGAGCTATCTCCATGTTGTTGCATTTACAATGTTCAAAATCTGAACATCGCTGGATTTCAGTTTCATTTACAAACAGTAATAAAGTCAAAAACTTTTCACAAAAAAATGAAAATAACAGATTAAGGCCAAACGCCTACTTAATCATTTGCATGTAAATGCAGATGTGCCAGAAAAATTGTGTATTTCAATGTCATGGTTGTTCTGGCGAATCTCTTCAACATCCCATCATACGTCAGTCTTATGTATATTGATATTAAAGTATTATATTTATTCTTTTTCGTGATGGTAAAAAGTTAGGCGGAGCTGAAGATATAACATATTACTATTATACATAAAGGAAAGCCAAGCACCTCCCCGTCGTCGTGTATGCCTCTTGGAATTTCATTTATCCCGATGTTAATTTTGGAATTTCATGTTCTGCTTGCTGACCTGTGTTGCATCTTGTGGTGAAAATATTTTGACTTTCGATTGTGTACTGAAAAAACAGGATTCTTATCTATAACTCCCATTGCATTCTTGTACTGCGAACGTGTTGATTTGCCTTTTTTTAAAGTCTTATTTTGCCCCTTCTTTTGCAACTTTTTACAATAAATGCTTTGTTGTACTTTCGTAAATCTATCCTCTTTTCAATGTCCAAAAAGCATTAAGGTGTTGATGTCAAAGTAAATGACACCTCTCTTGGAGATAGATATGTGTCAGCTTCACCCTTTTTTGGGCACATGTGCTCTCAAAATTTGCCTTTTTTATATAAAAGAAATTAACTTCTTCCTATCTTAAAATTCTCAAGTTATATAACCTTTCAAAACTATTTAAAATATGAATTAGGAATAAATTTTAAAAGCAAGCTGGTCTTTGTTTTTTCTTCCTTCACAGCAAGGATTCTACTCGTGATTTTACATTTAAAAAATAATTTCTCTTCAGTACTTCAGCACCATGTTCTAACCAAAAATAAAAAGTAGCAAAATTTTTCAGCAAATCACTGAAGCAAGAGTAATTTTACAAAGAGTGTACTGCTATAAAGATGGATGTTGTTTTTATAGGTAAAAAACTGTTATAGAAAGGTAAAATATAACATAAAAATTAGTTCCAAATATTTTTTTTGGCTTTTATAGTGAATGAATTTTTATATGAGGATGTTGCTATACATATATTTAACTGTATTTAGCAAAATCGTAACAATAAATGCTTTGGAAAGTCTTTTCTTCTTAAAGACACTTATTGTAAAACTAGAGATAGCATTATTTGAGAATCAAATACTACAAATACTAAATAGCCATTGGGCCCGGGCTTAGCCTGGGTATACCTATACTATACATAGAATTAGTAGAGTTGATAAGAGAATCATAGAACAAAAGCAAATCAGAAAATAAACAACAATACCACGACCTCCTAGATAGAGCATAAGCAGATAAATTGGATAACACATAATATGCATTAGACAACAAATAGTCAATTTTTCTAGTCCCTTCCACTACGTTTCCTCAATTTACTTACACTACTCATGTCTAAAATGAAGCATCTTTGGTCTAAAATTCAGTGCATAATAGCTCCTATATTTTCAGCTAGGAATTTAATCACAAACAGGAGTATTATCAACTTGTAAAATCAAGTGCTAGCCATTGAATTCCATATGGCAGTATTAGAATGATCTATTGTGGTAGTATGTTCATTCATATCATTTAGAATGATCTATTAAATCCACACTTTGCTAAGTACGTCAAAACCTTGACTGAACTTTAAGCTTTACTCAGTTCAACAGAGCAAGTATAGAGTAAATCTTGTTTCTCAGTTTTAGAGAGGACTTCAAAAGCATTAGGCTGCAATGCAAACTAAAAAAAGGCAAAAGAGAAAGCTAGCAATTTTCTCAAATTGCATTTTATATTTTTAAGATTATCTTCCTAAACATGTACATAATATTTGAAACTTCATTCTTGCTTAAATTCATTTGACTATATTTTTGTTTATTCATAAACCTTAATGACATAAAGAAAAAAATTCACATGAACATTGCAATATTTTCATCAGAGTAAAATAGGATTTTTAATCTACTAACCTGTTAAATGATTCATTATATTGATCACTTGAAGATGGTGATGAAGGCTGATCAAACACTATCTTTGCAAGCTGTGCGTATTTACTCCCTAGCTCATCATATTTACTCTCTAACCTTTTCGGGCGTCCTTTTAGTGATTTATTTTCTTTTTCAGTAGCATTCAGCTTTTCCAACAATGCAGCTTTAGAGGAGTTGCCACCTTTCAACTCCTTAGGAGTTATTCCACCACCAAATCCAACTACATGACTCTTTTGTTGAGGTCCGAAGCACCTTTCTACAACCTCAATATTTGTAAGAGACGATTCAGATTGCACCACTTCTTTGATTTTAGCCTGTAAAATAAAAAATAATTTAATTAACATAATACAATACAGTAAATAAATAATGTAAATTGAATCAATAAACATACATATTTCTTATTGGTTTCAGGTTCGACAAGCTTGTTGTTCTTCTTACGAGTCTAAAAAAAATTAGTTGCCACATCTGGTGGATTGCCATCTTTACCTCCCTTCACATTCAAATAAACAAGTCAAAGAAATCTTTGTAACAAAGATGAGGTTTCTTAATAGAATTATAAGATTTACTCACCAATTAATAAATGATCTCCCTAATTGGCTTACTACCCATACGATGAGGCATTGACCTATTGAACGAGTTTCTTGTACTTGTCTCCTAAATTAACAACATACCGACAAAATTGTGGTCAACCACTTAATATAACACGATGTTAATAAATAGCTATAAAATCATACCTTAAATTTTTCAGTAAGAAAATGCTCCTTGACCAGCCATTCCCAATCACTCTTGTCTACCCCTTTGGCACATCTTTTAGAGCAAAACGGAATGACTTAGACTTAATATTCTTGTGCATCGATCCTCTCCAATTGTTCCATAACTTTCTCATATGTTTCAGGACATGATCTCGTTGATCATTTACGTCATCACTGTCAAATTTGTCCTACAATATTTCACAAGTATCATTAAATATGAAACTTATCTTATAAACTAGAAATATAAAAATTTAACTCTGTGTATCAAAAGAGATGATAAAGCTTATAAAGGTTATACGAGTTCTAATTGATAGATAGGGTAGATTCTTAAAAGAAAAAAGTGAAGTGACCATGAGTCTATATTTAGTTCTATTTAACAGGCAAAGGAAGTATGCTTATGCATAAATATACTTGGTGATTTGCCAAATTGACACCAGTGCTTCATCTGTCAAATGTGTGATCAGATAGATGCACAGTGATATAAAGATTCATCCGAATGAAATGGAAAGCATAGGCAGAGGTCCTAGCTATGACTTATAGCCATTTTTAGCTATACAACTTGTAACAAACAGTTGCAGGCCGGAAAATAAATTGAGTAAAGCAAAGTTAGTGGTATTTTTCAACGAGACTTATACAGCTAATCAGAAAACAACTCTTGTGTCAAAATAATTATTAATATGAGCATAAAACAGAAAATCTAAGATACAAATTATGTTGCTAAACCACATCAAGCTACTGTCCAATCAGAGACAAGTTAAATGGAGAATTTGATGTCAATAATGAGGAAACAATGGAGCAGAAAACTCTCTCCCATGCTCCCTAGCTCTCATTCAAAAAGCCATTTCCAATCCTCTTAAGTAAAAACTACTGTCATTTACTGACCTTAAAGAATGTGTCCATTCACCAGATGCTTAGTTTCTGCTGCATCGGCAGGTCGAGGTATTATGGGAACAGAATACGTACACAAGACAGCATCAAATTACAGTATGAATTTAACATGTGTTTTTTTTTTTTATAATAAGGTAAGATTTTATTAAAAGACACCAAGATGGTACTAAATTACAACAAACTAATACAAGGCAACTAGTTTGAATCTGACATGTGCTAATCCAAGCTAGAGAAACTCTGGGGGTGTTTGAAGAGTTTATCCTAATTAGGATGTGAATTTAAGTTTCAATATTGCAAATCAACTATGTCAGTTAATTTTACCCCACAAGCTATATTAAAAATAGTATATCTGGAGCCAAAATCAAATTTAGCTTCTACAAGAGAAAATGAGTGGAGTAAGGAGAGACCTGCCAACAATGTCTCCAAATAGTCCTTAAACAAATAAAACTAAAATAATCCCAACAAACTGGAATGCCTTGATAAGCATAGAGCAAGACTATGGCTGCGGACCTTGCATGTATCAGTTTAAACATGACTTTAAATCTTCAACACATGAAATCTTGAAAACTTCGCACTGTTGATATCCATATTCCTTCAAATATTCACTACCAGTTACATCACCTTGAGCTCTTACTATTTGATTGATCTTACGAGCTCTATTACTTACTTGAAAGTGTCAGTCTTACTACTTGACCGAAGTCTCCAAAACACTTAGCATCACTAGCACATCCAAATAATTTTAATAAAGTGATACCCAATATGACATAACGAAGACCAAACAGCAAATATCTTACCTCATGAGTTCTCCAAGTGTAAGAAGGAAGCTCTGTATTCGAGAATGAATACAAACAACAATACGGCTCTAATCAAAAGCGAAATCCAACAACATATTGTTTTAGTGAACAAAGACTTTCCAACTAATTCATTATCAAGATATTCTCTTAAAGGAAACTCAAAAACAAATCTAGAGAATCAACAAGAAAGCTTTACTTACTTTTAAGTGAATGGATTCGTAAAGAAATCAATTATCTAACCAAACAATTTATACCCCAAACCCGGCTTACCCTTAAACGGCTCATTTTGAAGCTCGATTCACAATTAGTTAGATAAAATAGAAAGGGAGTGATAGAACTCATTACTAGGAAACCAATGTATACAGTACCAGACTCAACTTTTACTTGTCATAAGGCCAGGACAGGAGGAATAAAAACATAAAGATAGACTTCTAGTATATTGCAATTACAAAGCAATATTTCCAACTGAAATGAGGCAGCAGGGCCTTAGGATTTGGGAACCTAATCTACTGCCATTGAAGGCACTACGCATACTCAGAATGCCAGCCAAACTTTCTTATTAAGGAAAAGGTTTCTCACAGGAGCCAAAAATAGTTCCATCGCAGAAAGTTCATTTATTGAAAATAAGCAGGACCAGACATTCCTTTTTTAAAATATATTTATCTCAATGGTGATGGAAGATTCTTAACCAGCATCATAGAAAATATAAGTACATTAAACACTAACTAAATATAAAATGGAACACATGAAAGATTAAGGAAACAAGAGCAATTGCATGAGACTTATTAGGATAGATCTTTGAGAAGAAAAGGAACTCTTGAAGGAAACTAAATGCTATTATAGAAGGCCCGCACTTCTAATTCTAGTAGAAAACATCACGGTTAATCAAAACAAGTCTTGTATAGCAAAGAACGAGACTAGAGGGGATCTTCAGGAAATGGTAAGATAACACTTGCAATGGCAAGCACTTTCTATTCAGTGAAGTACATATTGGATTTTGCTTTGGAGTTTGGTACATAAAACAAGGATAGATATTACACTATATGTGATTATTCACTTTGTATATTACTTAAAGGAAGTATATAGATAAATAGTGGAAAGCAGAGATGTTGTAGTCAAGTTTAACATGAGACCTAAAGTTCTCTTACTCAATAACACACTGCAAAAAACACCAACTAGGCATTAAAAACATATTGAAAAACCAAAACATGGATATCATAGACTTCCTCACTTTCTAACTTGCACTTTTCTCAGTTTTAGCATTCAACCGGTTACCAATCACCGAGACGATCAATCAGTCCAGATGATTATTTAATAGCAATTGAATAATCAGCAACTACACAGATTTTGACTCCAAAATTCAAGGGAGGAAAAAAGCAACTAATTGAACTCGGAACCATGAATTTCGTCCTCGAACAGTCACGTCCGAACCCGCAAAACACCAACCAAGCTCAAGCAAGATCCATGAACGAAGATCAACAGGTCAAAAACTAAAAAATATATATATTTTTTGTTTACATCTATGTATATGAAAGAAACTTAACTCAAAATCAGAGGAGGAATAGCCGAAAATCAGAGAAGATCACTTAAATCTTTGTATATCTCTTTCTGTAATTTTTTTCTGGAATTTGAAACGTGAACAGAAAATCAAAGAGAAAACCTAAAAGCAGAGAATAAATTTTGCCCTTAAAACCCTAGCTTTTCACTCACTTTTTCTGTTCAAAACTTTATAATAATTGAATTTGAACAACCATGGTTTAGAACTGGGGTTTCATCTAAACTAAAATTAACATAAAAAGGGTACAATTTCGAACCTTACCTTGATTAGAAGAAACTCGAAGATGAGCAGTTATTGTCAATGGAGGTGACCAGCAATTTCTCTAATACGATGATATTGACGTCTGAGCCCCAGTAATTTCGCTGAAGTTTACTTCGCCCGTTGCAGGAGAAATTACAGTTTCAGGTTTACGAAATAAATGTTCACAGAAGTCTCAGGGTTTTTTCCTTCTTTTTTGGGGGAGGTTGGCGGATCCAGCCGTGGGTCGGAAAAAAAGAGGGAAAAGTTAGCGCCAATTTTTATTTTTATTAATTAATAACGACGGGCATTGTTATATTTTAAGGGCCTAATATTATCCTCTCGTTAATATTGAGCTAATAATTAATTTCAACGACCGAAAAAAATTTGGTTGCTATAAGTACACATTTATAACGACCAGACTTTATTCCCTTCGTTAAGAAGTGGACGCTAAAAATCAAATTTCTTGTAGTGATATATAGAACTCCAAACTAAAGGTATGAATTATCTATATTTTATCCATGTATTAGGATATCTCTTTGCACCATTTCATAGTCATGACTGCTATTGATGTGGTTCTAACTATGTCTATTTTGTCGTGTATTTGGGATGATGATCAAAGAAATAATATTGTTTCCTGTCTCATATATTTAGTGCTAATTGTATCTTTTCATGTCTAATCTATGGACATAGTGCCTATTTCTTTTGGTCTATAAAGAAAAAATTGTGAGTAAGTATTCTGTACGTCCTTGCATATGTATTCAGTGCTGAATATAGTATTCACCGATACTAAAATATGATATTTTTTTGAAGCTACATTTTTACATATGATGAAATAACTTCTAAAAGAGATTGCTTATAATAATAGTTACTTTGGGTGATGGAAATATTGAAATAGCAACAACCAAACTTTTTCAAGATTTGACATAGAACTGAATACAAATTATTAATAGTTGTGAGTTAAAAATTGATAAATACACCGCGCGGAGCGCGGGCATATCCACTAGTCATGAAATATATATGAGAGCTTCCGCGTCACTTTCTTATTGCGTACATGAATTGTAATGTTAGAATTAGTCAATTGGACATGCTAAATGAAAAGTTACTGGCAACTACAAATATTTCTAAGTGTTGTATCGCAGATTTAAGAGCAACAACAGAAATTTCAAAGAACGAGATTCTTTCACAAACATAATGAAAGTAGCAACAAAAAGAAAATGACGTAGATTATTTTGTATCAAAAATTAAAAATTGTTTATCCTTATAACCACGAACAGTAAATTAAACAGACTTATAGCCTGTTTGGGCCAAAAGTGCTTTTTTTTTTGTCAAGCACTTTAGGGCAAAAATTGAGGTGTTTGACCAAGCTTTTGGAAAGGAAAAAAATGTTTTTAAGGAGAAGCAGAAGCAGTTTTGAAGAACCAGAAAAAAGTAACTTCTCTCCAAAAGCACTTTTGAGAAAAATACACTTAGAAGCAGTTTTTTAAAGCTTGGCCAAATACTAATTGCTGCTCAGAAGTGTTTTTCAAACTAATTAGTCAAACACAAACTGCTTCTCACCAAAAGTACTTTTGAGAAAAGCACTTTTTAAAAAAAAACACTTCTCAAAATAAGCTGATTTTTGCAGCTTGGCCTAACAGGCTATTAGCGTGCGTCATTGTCATTTTAGTTTTTGGACTTCTATTCTTTTGCTTCTTTATTTACCTAAACTCTCCGAAACAAAAAGAAGAAGACCCTTTTCATCTTAATTTTTTTCTAAAGAAAATTAAATACCTATGTAGTAGGAAGTAAAACAACGATTATAACTCGAGATATCAAAGAAGAAGAGCATGTAATCGACTCCAACAATATCCACAAAGAAGCATTACCAAATATATTTTTGTCTCGTTGAAAGATAATTCACCCAACTAAAAAACATTAATTTGCCAGAGCTTGTTAACGATAAAAACTTCAACGGAATGCACTTTGTAGAGGAGGGGATAAAAAGGATACAGTGTCAGAACTCAGAAGGCAAAAATTACCCTTTGCGGAGACTAACATCGTTAAACTACTGTCAATGTAGGGACTAAAATCACACATTTATGTTAATTGGTCAAAATTTCTAAGTTATATAATAATAAATCATAATTAAGTGACAATACATAGAACAAAAATACTATTTTCCTTACTAGAATAGTACCCCAACCATGACTTGCGCCATGTAAATAGCCATATCCATACTACTGGTTGGCGGAGAAATTTGCATTTCCACTTTTCCTGAAACCATTTTCCACTTGTGAAGAGAAAAATGGAGTGAAATTAAACAATTTGGGTTTTAGATATTGCTTTTTAAGATGGAAGAGATATTGAAAATAAAAGAAAAGTGCTCTGTTGAATAAATTTCTCGTTTCATCATTAATGAATACGTATTTCACAAAATAACGTACATTATTTTCTGCAAAAAACAAAAACTCTTTATCTATATAGCCATGACATAAATAGTAAATCCAACAGACTCGGTATGCATCGTTGTCATCTTAGTTTTTGGACTTTTGTTCTTCTGCTTCTTTGTTTGTCTGAACTTTCCATAAAAGTATGAGACGAAACCCCAAAGAGAAAGGAAAAACGCAAGGCCTTTTTCACCTGAAAATTTTCTTTAAAGAAAACTACAGCTAATACAGGAAGTAAAACTGCGGTCATAACCCCAGACATTAAAGAAGAAGAACAATAAATGACTTCAATGACACCCACAAAAGAAGCACTGCCAAACAATGGTAGTCCATACTACTACTGTATAATATCTAGCTTTTCCAAGGTTAAATTGTTTTGCCTCCCTTGGTATAGCCTACAAATTTTAATCAATTTCTTAATCGTTGCTCTTTAAAAAGATCGTCTATAGCTAAGATATAATTGAAACCTTGAAAGTATATATGACACAAAACATTAAGGTAAATCTATTCGAATCCAGGGTATTACTCTAGCTTACATATACTTTTGATATATCCAAATTTAATATAATGCATCATGCACGCAAAATGTCTTCAGTCAACCCAAACCCACGATATAGATGTATTCCAATATAAAAAAGTCTATACCATGTCAAGAGTTCAGAAATTAGGATACGAATAATTTAGGGTTCCTACTGCTAAAGTCAAACTCACAAGTCACAACTCTTTACATGATTTTGTTCCCTCTTGTGAAGATGGAAATGAAATAAGAAATCCGAAAAGATGGACTTTTGATCGTTGGTGAACGCCAATAGATCATCACCTAATGAGAAGTTGATAGACGGGTCATTTGAAAGCCTTAGGGATCTAATGGTAATTAACACCAAACGAGAAATATATATTACCATCTCTTTTTCGATTTATGTGACATAATTTGTGTCTCGACACGAAATTTAAAAATGAAAAATAAATTAATGAAATTTGGGTCTTATACATATTTTATAATATTTGTAGTTTAAACATAAACACTTTCAATTATAACAATGTATTATTTTATTGGGACAGATTAAATATAGAAAAGACTTAAATTATTCACCCTTCCACCGTAAATTTCTTTTGCATTTCTAACTAGTAATTAATAACATGTCAATTCCTCTTTTACCATGTTATCAATAAATATAAAAATATAAAAATGTAAAAAATAAAATGCGACAGAGTGAATTATAAGATGCTTGGGTAAAAATGAGCTATAGGGGAAGAAAAATTACCTTAATGTCGTTATTAACAATCATTCCTACTAGGGGTGTTCAAACCGAACCGGAAAATCGCACCAAACCGAAAAGCCAAACCAAACCGATTAAAAACCCGATTAGGTTTGGTTTGACTTGGTTTGGTATTGAGTAAAATAACCCGAACCAAACCGACATATAAATATATACATTTTATTTATATTTTTAATACCTTATAGTGAATTTTCTTTAGAAAATGTAGAAATATTTGGGATCCTCTCATGTATTAACTTTGAAAGTGTAAATTAACGAAAAATTATTGTTAGACGAATAAGAAAATAACTATCATGTGTTACTAAAAAAATTCTTCCATTAGAGTATTTTAATAGATCATATGTTTGTCAATTTTTTCCATATTTACTAAACATATATTCACTTATCAAAGCTTTATCTATGATTTTAACAAAGTAAGATTGAAATAATATTCATGTAACAAAAAAAACCCGAAAACCCGAAAAACCCGACAAAACCGAACCAATCCAAACTGATATAGTTGGTTTGATTTGGTTTTGATAAAAATCGAACCAACCCGATCCATGTACACCCCTAATTCCTATAGTGCAAAAGGCAGTAGCACCAAAACACATGACCATCTGAATCTCCAACACCAACGTAGCAGTAATAACTTGTTTTGCTTTCAAGTAAATCAACTCAATACAAGGCAAAATAACTCCATATAAAACTGCTGCCACAAGTGTCATCATAAAACCAAGAATATATGCTTTACTTGTCACACCCTCTGGCCGATCATCATTAGATCGAACACCCAATAAAACATCACCAACTGTCAATAGAACAACTGCGTTGATAGAGTAGGGTGTGAACTTCAGCTTCACTATGAAGAAAGCACCTACCGCCGTGAAGGCAAGTTGCGCCGCAAGAAGAAGTGAAGAGGTCGACACGGGAAGTTTTGACCCGCCCCACGAATAGAGAAAATCATCAACACCAGTAACAATGCCAATGACGAATGATGCAATGAAAATTCGGGGTGTTATAAAGTAAAACTTGGCATTAGAGCCTTCGGTTTTTCAATGATAGAAGTATAAGATAGCAAGAGGTATAAGGGTGAGTGGCCATTCGGCAGTTTGTAACCAACTCTAAACCATACTCTTGAACCTCCCTCGACATAATATAGACGCATCATTAGAGGACCACCACAGATACCAACAGCAAGTATTAGACAGTTAATCGGTA